AAAGAGAAAAAAGAAAAAAGAAAAAAAAGAAAAGCTTTTGTACTGAGCATCACCATTTCTAGGCACATTTTTGTGCTTTGCCAGGCAGCTGTCCCAAATGGGTCTGTGAAAATCCCACTCTGCAACTTTGCAGCCCAATTGGCCAAGATTGCTCTGGGCACTTTATTTCACATCTGAAATTTTGCTGCCTGGGTTTGATGACTGATGGGTATTTCTTTACTCTGTTTAAGCCATATATTTTATTTTCTCCCTCCGGAAAAAGTTTTGTTTAACAGCGTATGTATCATTCAATGTCTAGTCAGAAAAATAGAATCTATGTCAAGTAGTTCAAAAGGTGGATTTCAACACTGAGGATTAGTTGCCAGGGTGTTGGAAGAGCTGAAAAGGCAAATGGAGGAACAACCGACAATCCAGAGAACAGGAATGCAGGAAACTACTAGCATCCCTAGATCTGGAGGCCAGCTGAGACCACAGAGGCTGGATTGCCAGGCAGGAGCTGGAACCATAAACGTGCAGCCATTGCTGGAGACACAGCCCAAAGGAGAGAGAGAGAAGAGCAGAAATACTTGGGCTTCTCACCAGCACTCTCATTGGCTAAAACTAATCAGATGCCCCGGGGCAAAGGAGTCTGGGAACTGTAGTTCCTGGGGATCAGCCCCCTACTACACAGAGCAGAGTAGAGGAAGACAGGGATACATCTGAGGGCAAAAAAAGCAAACGAATGGCCCAGAGAATCTCTCCAAAACAACTTTCTCTTTGGGCCTCTCACCAACTCTGAAGAAATGGTAGGTTCAAGTATTCAGTGGACCACGGACAAGGAGAAGCGCATTGCTTGAGGCTGACGGCAGCCTCATGATCTTAACAGCAGAGATTTTTCACACTCTTTTCTAATTGTTTAGAAATATCATACTTCACACAGAGCTGTTAGATGTTCCCTGTTACTAAAGACTAAAAGCTCCCAACGCTTCAATTTAGCACCCATTTTTCTATACATACCAAACGAAGGAGCACCGATTTGAAAAACAGAGAAATTATAGTATCTCCAAACACAATTCACGCTCAAATATCTCTTGGCCAGATCCTAAGGGGGTGAAAGGGGAGGAAAAGTGAATTCATTAATATTTCAGCCAAGTGACTGATTTTGCCTTCCTACAACCCAATTCATTATCCTTAACCTTAGAGCTTCCATTCTGAGAAGAATACATTTACTTACTGGCCTCTCCTCACAGATGTGTGCTAAATTTGTCTGTGACACTTCAATTCCAGTTTCTGCTGCTAAAACATAATACAGCAAAGCTTCGTGCCTAAAAATAGATGATTAATAATAAATTTCATATAGTGGCTCTTACTAATATTCACAGAGAGCTTTATATTCAAGCATAAGAGGGCACCAAATAAGCAGTTTTTTTAAAACCACAAAATCATGAGTTTGTTGTGTGTGTGTTTTTTAAATAAATACTGTTGTTAAAAATACTGCAGGCACTGATTTATTTTCTACCTTAAAGGCTGAACTCACAGATAAGGGTGGAGAGCAAGTTGATGCAACAGCTACCTCTACTGGCCGGATGGTATATGGCATGCTGGCTGGGTTGTCTCTTAGCCTTTGGTCCTTGAATCCGTTCATCCCCCTTAGCAGAGGTAAGCGGTATGTAGAAAAAGCCCGGTTTTGTGAAAGGCTTCATGGGGCTTAGGATTCTGAGCAAGCTTAATTAAAGCTGAGCTTTTGTGATGCATGAGAAGTTTGGCCGAGGAGAGGCAGTTGACAAGGGGCTGGATACCAATGGCCAAAAACACAGAGGAAAGAAAATAAATGCTCGATACTGCTCATAACTGAACGATCGCAAGACCATGAGACATGACTGTTCGCCTGTCGAAAGATTGGCACAAGATTCACAATACAGAGTAGCAGCATGGGTTTGGGGAAACGGACGGATTCCTACAGCCGCTGGTTGTGGGAGGGCTGGTTAACCCAATGGTTAAATGCGGGAAGTCTTAAGAATGCCCACACCATTCAGCCAAGAGTTTTCCCCTTGTAAAGCTTTGTTCTAAAAAAACAGAAACACGTGTAAAGATTCTGTGACCACAGAGTTCATGGGAGACCTGTTTATATGAACAAAAAACACTGGAAGCAACTTAAGTATCTGAAAACCAGTGAGTAGTTAAATTACCCCACAGTGCAGCCACTTTCAGATGAGGCCGTTAAAAATGATGTTGTAGAAGAGGATTCAAAAACGTGGAGAGATGTTTATGCGAAATTTTCCTTTCGGTTAAAAAAAAAAAGAGGGTAGGATGAAAAACAGAGCAATTCCATTTTTGTAAAACAGAAATAAAACCAAATGTATCCATTCATATACACACACATGCAGATGCATGTATGGAGAGGAAAGAAATAAAACTTAAAAATTATCAAAATGGTAACACCACGGGGGCGCCTGTGGCTGAGTCGGTTAAGCATCCAACTTCTGCTCAGGTCATGATCTCACAGTTCGTGGGTTCGAGCCCCACGGCTGGCTCTGTGCTGACAGCTCAGAGCCTGGAGCCTGTTTCGGATTCTGTGTCTCCTCTCTCTCTGTCCCTCCCCCACTAACGCTCTGTCTCTCAAAAATAAATAAAATGTGTAAAAAATTTAAAAAAAAAAAGGCTAATAGCACTTATCCCTAGGTGGTGAGAACCAAATCATTTTATTTTCATCTTTTTACTTGTATGATTTCCTCCATTTTCCTTGTGTTTCCCAGTTTATGAGTAAAATTTTATTTTAGCCATATATAGTTGTTTCTAAAGCTTATTTTTCATTCTAAGCAGTTGACATTAAGAACTTTTTTTTTTAACTGCAACTCCACCTAGAAACTGGTTTATGGGAGGGTTGGGGAAACAAAGGAAGCAGATTCTGAAATCGTCTTTTCTACTCTGCTAAAGCAGCTTCTGGTGGCCCAACCCCTGGGGACAGGGAGAGGTGACTGGGGGTCAAATTAGGACAGTGAGACCTTCAATCAGACACAATGCAGGTCACGGGCCATGTAGCTGCTGAGTGAGCTGATTCTTGGCTTCCCAGACATCCAAGGCAGCCAACCAATTAGCCATGACTCATGCTAGAGACACAAGGCTGGCTGAGCAGTGTCCCCTACATCACAAGCCAGAAAACGAGCCCACAGCACAGAAGACGCCTAGGCATATTCTTACACAGCTTGCAAAAACCACATTTTGGGACAAGAATCTTCAGAACAGACAGACCCCAGATGGAGGGTCTGCAAAGGTGGCCCAGCAGAAAGTCCCCATCATTCTGCAACAGGGACCCATTCCCAAGGTCTTACAATCTCGCATTTCTTTGGAGAAGCTTGAAGGCGAACCAGTGCCTGGTTTCCCCCTGGGGATGGAGGAGGGAAAGAGAGGTGTAGACTTACTGGCCCAAGGTCAAATACTGGGCCGGATCCCTCTGCTGCCATATGGATGGAATGTGGCTCACATTATTATTAAAATGTAATAAAAGGACGTTTTCTTTGACAGCACTTTGGGCAGACTGTTAGAATTTGTGGGGGAGGCAGGAGGTTGATGCTTCCTGTAAGAATTGAGTCACTAGGACAAACTTCAGAAAGTCAATATCTTGTCTCAAGCTACCTTGGTGGTGGGGAGGGGAGGGAGGTACAAGTTTTACAGAAGACTTCCACTGTCCAATTAAATGTGTAAGCCAAGAGGAAATTTCATAGAATTCTCAAGCGTTTCCTTTGAGGAAGCACTGAAATCCATCAAAAAGAGAGGTCTAAAAAACATTGATGTCTGTAGAAATGCTGACTGGAAATCCAGCCCCGTGTTCTATCCTGCAGAAGCGATCATCGAAGGCTGGTGCTCTCCTATATCACCGCCATCCATAGGCGAAGCTTAGCACACTCAAGGCCAGACTTGCTCGGCTCATTAAGGCTTCTGAGAAACGACACCTTTGCAGAAATCCTACCCACCTTACCTCCCAGTGCTTTGTTCTTACTTAACTGTGTTCGACACAAACTGCCCGGAGGTATTAATTACAGATATTTCTATAATTATAATCATGGGACAGACATGTCGGCAGCACCTGCTATGGGCAGGACGCCCAAAGGCAAGCCATAGAACCGTACTGCCCTTCCAAGACTTTCTTCAAGGTTTAGGAAGCTAACCAGAGCCTCAAGCTTTATTTCCAATACACCAAAGTGAAATGTCCCCCAGACAGTCATTCTGACAAGGACTGGGGGTGGGGGGGGGTGGATGCGGAGAGGAGGGGATTTATGGTAAAGAACGAGTTTAGGGGCACATTTGCTATCCCCCCACTTCTGACTCGGCATACACATTTACAGAACTTTTGTAATGATACATATTAATAATCAATCCTTTAGCTGCTTGCTGTGAACTGTGAATCTGAGTACCTCTGAGCAGCTTCTCAAACAATTATGTTATTTTCTTTGTGCTTTCCTCTGCCGATGCCTGAAGCAGCTTATACTGGATGGATGGAAAAAAAAAAAACTCCTGGGATCTTAGTGGAATTCAGGACCCCTGGTCTATTGCAGAAAGGTGAATCTCTTTCAGCTAGAACTTGGCATGCCCCAAGCCCCCCACCCTCTGGCTAACCTCCTGGGTTGAATATTTAGGACATATTTACGACAACGGACAATAAAACACCTAGCTCACAGATAAAACACACATAAGGGTAAAGCGGAGAGAAATGAAACATGACAGCCAGCCTCTCCTTAGCTGACTTCTTCTGGTGTCCGAGGACAGCCTCAGGCATGACAACATTATCTTCCGTATTATGCCTATACAGCAAAAAGCCCTCTTCTCAATCATGCTCCTCTTTAAACTATCCCATATAAATCCTGGAACAACACAGAAAAACACAAGCTCATCAAACTGACACACGTAATTTGAAAATAACGTCCAGAATAAATTCACTCACAGAAAATGAAGGGGGACGGACTTGGGACATTGATGGATGATTTAGTTCTATTGCAGCCAGATAGATGGTACCAAAAAAGCCACCCTGTGGTGTGGGAAGGCCAACGGTCATAGATTTCCTGTTTAACCCCAGGGGAAGTTTTGGGGCTTGGAGAGTGGGGGGAGATACAAGCACTTTGCCTCAACCATACTTTGACAACGATTTTCCCATTGTAATGGATACTAGATGTCCCTTCCTGCTGATAGAAAAAAAAAAAAAAAGGCTTTAAATCCAGATTGAAATTTATCTTTAACAACACTTAGCATCAGCATCAAGATTGGTAAGGATCTGAAGCAGCAAAAATATATACATGGTTGGCAGGAGAGCAAACTGGTAAAATCCTTTGGGAAAACCGTTGGCATCATCTGACAAAGTTGAACACGTGCCTGCCCTATGACTCCACTCCTAAATTTATATTGCAGAGCAACTTTTCTGATGCATGCCACAATCTACATAAAAAATGTTCATGGCCACATTGTTCTTAAAAACAACAAAAAAGGGAAATGCCAGTGTGTGTTAATATAAGAAATGGGGAGCGCCTGGGTGGCTCAGTTGGTTAAGTGTCTGACTCTTCATTTTGGCTCAGGTCACGATCTCACGATTTGTGAGTTCGAGCCCCACACTGGGCTCTGTGCTGGAGCGTTCTGGGCTCAGAGCCTGGAGCCTGCTTCCGATTCTGTGTCTCCC